TTCAACAAACGTTTTAAGGATGTTTAGCATTTCAAATCATGTTCTTATAAGGTTAGATAAGCTAAGATAATCCTATATTAGTGCCACAACGGGGAATTCTCAGTGTTACAGCAGCAAAGGGACAGGAAGGCACTCAATAATAAAAGAAATAACAAGAAGAGAATTAAAAAGCAAGTAATGAACTTTGTTAAGTACTTAACAGGGTTTTTACAGTTTGTTACTTGTTATTATATAGACAATATATATAATATTAAGAGTTAAAAATTATGTTACATATTAACTGAGACATAATGTTTTAACTCCAACATTCAGACGATGTTGTAAGGATGTTGTCAGGGCCACATGATGATGTTTTAAGGGAACGTTCCCAGAAGAACATTCTGGGACCGAAAAAAAAACAAAAAAAAAAACTGAGAACATTAATAGAACATGTGTGTAATAGAACATTTTACTAGCTGGTTACCAAGCCAGGCCCAAAGTTTTAATACACACTTCTATAACCTAAGAAAAGCTCCATTAGTTTGCACTGAAGTCCCTGTATTTAATGAATAATAAGCCTTAGAATGTAATAAGCCTGGAATGTTAAGGGGTTAACACTTAATCACTGTTTTGACTGGAAACTAAATAAATAAAGGATGCTTTCTGGCTTTTGCACTGCATCAGTCCTCACGTTCAGAGTGTGTTGAATGCTAGGGAGGAGAGTGTGTGTGTGTGTGTATGGGTTTCAGAGGGCAGGAGGCTGCGTGCAGACAAAACAACATCACAGTGAACAGGGAAAAAGGCCGAAGACTAAAGAAAAAAAAAAATGACACTTGGTCTAATTCAGCTAATCTCACTCGAGCTTGAAAGCAGCCTCTGGGATGTCTTACTTGAGGACTATACAAAGAGAAACAGGTCAGGGGAGACCAAACAGCTCAGGTTTGAAATGGAAACCTCACTATTGAGAGGAATCCGTCTTTGTCAGTTTTGCTTTTGAGTGGAGGCAGTTGGAAATCAAGACGGCTGAATACGGCGGGCAGAGAACAACACTTCTTTGCTTGCGCGCTTGGCGGTACGCATGGTGCCAGTGGCAAACAAGACTGGCTTAGACATTGAACTGAGCCTAGCTGCAGCAGTGCGCTCCTTTAAAGGGCCTATATCCTACATTCTTCTTGTATTTTAGTTTTTTCCCTGAGGTCTACTTATAACGTTTGTGTGGGTTTATGTGCCAAAACAGTCATCATTCATTTCTCTCTTTATCCTTGTGAATGAAACAGGGCATGGTTTTTACTGAGCCTTTAATACTGTTGTGTGCAAATTACATGTTGTGTTTTTTTTGTTTTTTTTTAAGTAAAAATAAGTTAACACATCCTGTACAGGGAACAAATGTAAATATGGCATTTTTCTGCAAATTTTAGTGCACATTTTTTATTTATTTCCCAAGTTTAACATGTTGGAAGAAAACATCAAATATAAAAGGTGCCATAACTTTTACACAGGCTACATTTTATCTTTTATGTTAAATTCAGCAAATGAACATTAATAGTGCATTAAAATGTGCTCTCTGTGGAGGATGTGTTCACTTATTTTAACTCAAAAGTCAACAAAACATAATTTGCCCAGGGTGCCAAAACTTTTACACATGGCCGTATGTAAATGACTTCTGTTTTGATTGGCTGCTCTGTATTGTGCCTCTTCCAAACAGCAGTTTGGGCTGAAGTGTACAACAAACTGTAAAGTTCGGGCAGCTGAACTGCTGTAGGACGAATGAGCGATCATATGTAAATATATCCATGTTTGTGACATCACAACCATGACGAATTCAAAATGGGCTTTTTTGCAGCTTAGTTTCCACACATGTACTGTATGGACTGAGGAGCTGATGGCATGTTTTGAAATTGTAGCACATAGAAAATGTGATATTTGATGAAATAATGATAAAAAATCAACTTCATTGCAAAAGGGCGGAGCTAAGCTGCTGTAGGCTGAAAAGTCAGGTATATGTAAAATTGGTGCTTCTGATATCACAGAAACAGTACATTCAAAATAGGCTGTTTCATTCGCTTTTGGACTGAGGCCATTAATTATGTTAAGACTCTGTAATCACAGCTTTTGTAGAATGTGTATAAATGTATGATGTATGTGTATGTATGTATGTATGTACATGTATGTATGTGGACCCCCCTCCCACCATCCTTCTGTGGTGTTGATATGCAGAGAGTGTTATTTATGTATTTGCTATCAAAATTAAAAAAAAGTTATTAACCAAAAAAAAATTGGTTTCCATATGTAGACTGTACAGTCTGGCGAATGAATGGTGCATTTTGAACCTTCACCTATTTTTACATCCTACATCAAACTCTTATTTACAAAAAAGAGAGAAAAAATCAGTTTCCCAACTGTTTTACATGCAATGGACAATCCAAAGACATTCTACAGGCTGTTTCATGCCTCCATGAGAGAATAATCGAACAGGAAAAACCACATGTAATTCCGTCTCTAATCTAACGCCTAATCTTTCATTCAGAATGCTTAAGAATTCACACTTGGCCCATCCCATGTCAAAAGCAAACAAGCTTTATTTGTTATAGCCGTCCATTGTACACATTGCAGCGGCAGCTCTTCTTTTTTAAAGGGCTTGTATCGTGGAAAACCACATTTGCTCACTTCTTTAAAGTAACAGTTTGATAATTATATATAAACATTGCTGAAGTTTTAAACATGTCATTCATTCCCCAGTCAATACAGCTTATATATGGAAACTAAACTTCAAAAACAGCCTGATTTAAATTCATTGTTTCTGTGATGTCACGAAAACCAACACATTTACACATATGCCAATTTAGCCAACAGCAGTTTAGCCCCACCCATTCACACTGAGTGTTTCAGCCTAGGCTGCTTTTTCAATAAGGAACAGTGCAAGGCCAATCAAAATAGAACTCATTTACATAAACATTTACATAAATGTCTGTTTTTTGTACACAAAACGACCATATATTATAAGCTGACCCCAGGAAAAAATAAAATACAAGAAAAATGCAGAATATGGGCCCATTAATGGTTGCCTTGTAGCACAAATAGACTTAACAAACGATAATAATAATAATAATAATAATAATAATAATATGCAGATTGCCATATTTTGTGGGATTAAAATGGTTTGAATATAATTTGCATCATGATCATGGTTACATGATTGTACAGGCTGTGTTGGCTGATAAGGAACAACACTGCAAAAAATAATATCTTAACAAGTGAAAACTTCTTAAATATAGGCAATTAATCTAATATTTCTCATTATAAGGTTGTTGTAAGAATATTATAAGATTATTCCACCTGATTCTGTACATCTCCTGCTTGTTTTGAGTGATTTTATCTAGTGAAAGTGTCTGATTCCACTGGCCGATTCGTTTACTTGTTCCGAAAATACTGAAGATAATTTTGCTTATTGCAAGAAACAATGCTTAAAATAATGAACATGATCTGCCAATAGAATACGACACTTTTATAAGATAAATATGCTTAAAAACAAGTAAAACATGTCTAGAAATAAGTTAAATAGTCTTACAATATTCTTACAACAGTCTCATAATGACAAATATTAGATATACTGACTACATTTAAGATATTTACACTTGCTAAGATATCATTTTTTTTGCAGTGCAAATGTCAGGCATCACATTCATAAACATTTTATGCAATAATATGGTTATGAATATGATGCCTTATATCTGAGACATTGTTTTAAGATAGTTTTGAGAAGGTTTTGCCCTATTCTATGTTTTTTATTTCATTCATTGCAGAGGGGTACATGCAGGGCATTGTGAGGGAAAATAGTCCCTAAGGAAAACTTGTTTTTTCAGATTTATGATTATTTTACCATCATCAACATTCCATGTAAATGCTCAGAGGACACATATAGGTTCACTGGTTGTTTTGGATAGTAGATAAAATAGCTATATTTCTGTATTTGCATTATAAGGCAAAATAGTGCCCAAAGAAAACTTACAGATATTATTTGGGTGGTGGATCATTTTCAGTACAGCAGTGACAATGACATGATAGTGTGTGTGGTGCCAGGCAAGTCAAGTGAGCTTTATTGTCACTATACATATACATATACTACAATATGTACAGGACATACAGAGTATTGAAATTGCGTTACTCTCAGACCCCATGGTGTAGCAATAACATTAAATAGACAGTCAGAGAATTGAGAAGGTTTTGGCAAAAAGCTCATTTATGGTTGGAGGGGTACATGCAGGGTGTTATGAGGCAAAATAGTCCCTGAGGAAAACGTTTTCTTCCAGATTTATGATTATTTTACCATCATCAACGTTCCATATAAACGCACAGAAGACATGTATAGGTTCACTGGTGGTTTTGGATAGTAAATAAAATGGTTATATTTGTGTTGTAGACATTGTGACGCCTGGTTCCCATCACCACCACTGTAAAGAAATCTGAGTCTGTAAGTTTCTCTACAATGTAAGTTTTCTCTCCACTCTGAATGACTTTATTTACATCTCAACCATAGAATTTTGCAGAAATGTTGAAAATTCTCCTATAAGACACAAACTAGAGAGATGAGGCTATATGGAGTTTTACCACTTCATTATGCTGTCCTCAAACATCAACCAAACTGTAAACTGACCCCAGTACGGCGTACACTGGCTGACCAGGGGCTCTGCTGGTAAGTAGGTAACAGCCTTCCATTCACTGGCACTGTGCTCACACGTCTAAGGTAACTCTGCAGGTAAAACAGCTCTAACAGCTCTGTTCACTTACAGCATTCCCCACTTCTCCTAGAGTAGCTTAGCCAAAAGAGGCCCATGATTACATGCAAATCATCTAAAATGCAAATATCAAAGTAGTAAATGTGTAATAAAGCATGAGACTTTGCGTGAGGATCACTCTCAGTACCTCCTTACGGTGCTTATTTTAAAGATCTTGCACAATATTCCTCATGTTTAAGGCTGTGATTGTGCACAGTCATCAGTGTTGAAATAGTTTACATTCAGACCGGTTTGCCACTGTATAACAGCACTGAAGATTTTATTGTGTGCAGTTTTTTTTCCTCTGTAGTCTAACAGCTGAGTCAGTTCAGTTACTGGGAGGTGGTTTGTTGTCCAGCACTGAGAGCAGATCAGCGTTAGACTTGGGGATAGAGGCACACAAACGCACACTTCTGCCAACACTGGCCCAGCAAAATGGACTCGAAATGGTTTAAAATGCTTATGCCGCTCATGCTGCTGGTCTTCGCTGTTATTACTCTTCTCTTGCTCACTCTACCTGTGGAGGAGATGAAGGAGCCTCCTAAATACATGGTAAACAACCTCTTGCCTTCATATTCTTTTCATATACAAATTAGAGGTGGGTAGAGTAGCCTTAAATAGAAGAGTAGAGCAGACTGAGGTGGAAGTCTTGGGTCACATCTTGTTTTGATTGTCCTGTTGAATTTTGATTGTCCACGTGCTGAATTCAATAATCTGTTGAAACTCAGTAATCAACTACTTTTTTTAGGATTAGAGTTTAGGTTTAGATTCTAGACTGAAATCATGGTTACACTGTAAAAAGTTTGAATGAAGAGAAGCCTTTAAAAGTCAAATGACAAGTTTTAAGCTTCTCAAACCTATTAAAAGATTCCTTACTTAAAATGATGAAAAAGGGTTTGATGAACAGCGATTTTATTCCAAATTCCTGTCAATTTTTCATCATGAGTTGAGTCAGCTGTATGCTTTGTAATAATGACATCACATTGGGTAAGATTACATCATGTTGGATTAAATGTATCTCCTTTTTTGAACAGGAAATTCCTTGTTCACTCAGAACAGGACATGCCACATTATGCTAGGTACAGGCATGGGCACTATGGGCGAGACTCCTAGTGCTTTCTTTAACTAACTAACATGATTAAATCTAAGTCACTCTGGATCCATCACCTGTCAGATGCTGTAAATGTAATTTAAAAAACATTCTTGTGTGAGCTCACTTAACCCCTTAAAATCCCAGGCGTATCTCATTCTATGGCTTACTATTCAGTAACCACTGGGACTTCAATGCAAACTGGTTGAGCTAATCCTAGGCTATAAAAGTGTGCAATAAAAGGAGGGGCCTGGTCTTTTAAGGGGGTTAAATATGTCTTTTAATGCTGAAAACAGAATGTTAGTATTATCATTTACTGAAGCTGAGTAAGTAAGTAAAAGCTAGTTCTATTCATAACTGTTTCATGTCGAAGCTTTATGTGAGGGAGCTTTTCGAGCCATTATGTGCTTTAGACATCTGGTTCCTATCGCCAATGTTGTGAAGGACTTAAATTGTCTCTAGAACGGGGCATTTCACATCAAAAACTGAATGGCCATACTGGCACCACACACACTACCATGTCACTGTCACTGCTGTGCTAAGAAGGATTCACCACCCAAATAACATCTCTAATGCAAACTGGTAGAGCTGATCTCAGGTTATACTGTGCAATAAAACTTTGGTCAGTTGGACCCTGGTGTTTTAAGTGGGTTGTAGAAGTGTGTAATAAAATTTTGGGCCTGCTGGAGGGCCCTGACCATGTAAGGGGTTAAATAGATTGTTAGTTGAATGTTAAGGACACGGCGAGTGTCTACAAAGAATCTGCAGTGGTCTCTCAAAATAGTGTTATTGGCTTATTAATGTTACTGTAATGAAATGGTGACTCAAGTCCTTCACTCTGTTCTCCTCCTAAATGGCCTGCTGTTAGTGTGTGTGTGTCTGTGTGTGTATGTGTGTGTTTGTACGTGTGTGTGTGTGTACGAGGGTGGACAACATGGACAGGCTGCTGACTGGCTACAGCTGCTAAAGGAGAACCCTACGCTGGCCACTTGTGATATTTTAAACATCTGGCATTTTTTCATAAATTATTGTGGCTGTATTGATTTAAAAGAGCAATAATGCGGTGGGTCCACCAGACCACTGAGTAACAACATCATCAGCACCACACAAGGGTTAAAAACCCCCAGCAGAACTGCAGTGGAACTTCTCAGTAGATCTATAAGCACAGGAACTGAAGTTTGTTAGGCTCTATTCTTCTCGTTGGGATCATTTTGGTCTAAGATACAATGTGAAAGCTCCAAAGCAAAAGGCCTGCCCAAGCAGAAGTCCAGATGCTGAACCACCAACAAAAAATTAAATTAAACTAAATTAAAGGAATTAAATGTAAAGGAATATAATGGAACTTAGTAAAAAAAATAGTAAAAAGTAGATTATTTTGATATCAATATATTTGCGCACTTATCTATTGTTTGGAAAAGTATAAATCCACCAAATGTTTATGTCACTAAGCAGATGGAACTCATTAAGATGCACTGATTGTTAGTGTTGTCCTATGCAGCGTACCACCGTGTGCTTTAGGGGTAAAACAGCACTGGCATCAGTGGGACTTTTATGCAAATAATAGCTATTTTGCCAGGTGCGTCGTTTTTGGCTGGTCATTTTCCAGGCAGCTTTGTAATTAAGGAAGAGAAGAGCCTGCATCTTCTCAAGTGTTTCCAGTAACTACTAAATTGTAAGTTTGTTTTGCCCACATCCTTCCTTTCTGAGGGCTGTATCTCTTTTGTTCTTCATGTTATTCTTTGGCATACTGAATGTGCTTCCTCGGATTCACATGAATTTTCATCATATGAACACTTAATGGAGGGAAGACATGAGGATGAGTCTGGCAGAGGGAGAAAATGGGCTTAGGCTGTGTACAAACACCAATAAACTGTGCAATGATAGTATTTTTTCAGTAGTACAGATCATCATACTTTTATTACCATTAAACTGTAGTCAGGACATTAAAGGCCTATCATTATTCTGTAAATTAATTGTACAGATTTAAACTTTTCAGAAAAAAACAACAGCATTTCTACACATAGTTGAGATTTATTGACTTGTTGGATTCCCAGAGAAGTGCAGCTGCTGAGCCTACATATTTACACAGTGCTGTAAACACATCTGCTACGTCACGCTGCTTAAAATGAGAACGCTTTTGGGACATGATTTGGTCTGGAACTAATGGATTGGTCAGTGATGTACTGTACATTAACTGTCATGCAGTTACATACATTGCTCAGTTTCTTAGTACTTAGTAAGGGTACATTCTCACGAGTTAAGTTAGAGTTAAATGGGAATTCAACCAATTATTCTAAATTTCTGCACAATCTAATTGCTGAAATGTAAAGGAAGAGTGGTTTAAGTGGTCTGGTGTGAAATGGTTCACTGAGAAACTTACAGACTCAGATTTCTTTACAGTGGTGGTGATGGGAACCAGGGGTCACAATGTCTACAACACAAATATAGCCATTTTATTTACTATCTAAAACCACAAGTGAACCTACACGAGTCTACTGAGTTTTTATTTGTAATGTTCATGATGGTGAGAAAGTCATAAATCTGAAAAAAAGTTTTCGAAAATGTTTTCAGTGCATTTCAAAAAAAGAGTTTTTGGCCAAAACCTTCTCAAAACTAATGAAAAACAATGTCTCAGGCATCAGGCCTTCTATTTTACAGCCATTACATGCAGACAACTGGTTCCTATCACCACTATTGTGAACAATTCTGACTCTGTAATTGTCTTTAGTTAAGCAATAGAACACGAGAGGGAGTGTGTTTGGCTCGTGCCATAGATCATTACAGCCGTGATGTTATTTGCGATAACACACTCCTTGGGTGCTCTATTGCTGTTATACAACAGTTAAATAAATAAATTAATACAATGGGTCGTGAACACGGTGTTTAATATGTTTTAATGTTCGCAGTTCCTTCCTCCAAATTATAGTTCCTTAACAAGCAGCTTGTTGCTACGTCAGAGTAACAAACTCCGCCCACTCGCTGCACAGCCGGCAGTTCGTTCTCCAGCTCCTTACACTAAAATCCCAAACTGTCATCACCACTGAGCAGCTTTTCAATCGGTAGCTGTGACAGAAGAACAGCTAAACAACCTGGAATCAGCCAGAAATGAACCCAATACCATTCGCCAAACGTGTAGTCTGATCTTCAGAGTCTGACCAAATCAGACTGAGCCATAAAACTGCCGCAATATCAAGTTTAGCTCAGTTTTTGCCAGATCAGTATTAATGTTGTTTTGTTCCAGCCAGTCTGTAAAGCATCTTACAGCCCATTTAGTTTGGCGAATGGTATTGGGTTCATTTCTGGCTGATTCCAGGTTGTTCAGCTGTTCTTCTGTCACAGCTGCCGACTGAAAAGCTGCTCAGTGGTGATGACAATTTGGGAATTTAGTGTCGTCTCATCTTCAGAGTCTGACCAAATCGGCTGTCGGTCAAATGTGATCTTGAAAGTGTCCATTTTCTGTTTGCGGTAAAGTAAGAAGTAAAACCGTTCAAATGGCTTGAGCGTCTCCTACAGCTGTCAAAGTCGTTGCTTAGCGACGGCGTCTCAGCGGAGTGATACAGTGTTCGTGAAAAACCTGTGATGTTATGGCGAAATAACAGCACAGTTAGAACGCTTCTCAACCAATGAGCTTGCGTGGCCGAAACTAACTGTTGTATAAAATGGAACATTTCACATCGAAAGAGTCTGAATGGTCAGATTCTGACTGGCACCACACACACTATCATGTCATTGTCGCTGATGTGCTGAGAGTGATCTGCCACCCAAATAATATCTGGACAACAGTGGTCCGTCCTGTGGTCAGAGAATGACCAATGAGCAGAGAACAGATGAAAATGTGAAGCAATATATGGACTACAGTCTATAAGTGTGCACCTGTTTAGTGGACCTATAAGGCATTCGGCAGCCTATGAGTGGAAGTAAGAATTAGCAGTTTCTAAAAGGGATGGGCATTTCAGTCCATAAATATGACAACTAATAACATTAGAGAGAAGCTTATATATCATAATCATAATTTACTATTACATTTTTAAGCTTTCATGCCTATTTGAAAATTTTGAGCCTAATAAAGTGGACAGTCACTGTGTGCGTTCTAGTATTGCGACAAGCAATCGTGCGAAACACATCTGCAGCTCGGAACTGGACATTCACAGTCTGCTGTCTGTTTTTTTGGCAGTACGGGATAGTGCTGGACGCAGGCTCCTCCCACACAGCCATGTTCATCTACAAATGGCCGGCAGACAAGCAGAACGGCACAGGTGTGGTCACCCAGCATAGCGAGTGCCATGTCAAAGGTCAGAGACAGTGTAATCTATCTGAGACTTGAAGATTCACTTATCAAGAATGGTCATTCTGGTCATAAACCACACACACACACACACACATTGTCTAAGCCACTTCTCTCTCTGACTCACGGGGGACACTGGAGCCTGTCCCAGCGGTCACTGGTGGAAGGCAGGAAACACTTGGGCAGGCTGCTAGTCCATTGCAGTGGTCATAAACCAGGATTTCTAAGAAAGTATCTGAATCTGGGTGTAGATCAACAGCAATGGCCAAACAACTGATGCACATTTGTGTTTGATGATAAGATTTTATAAGATTTGAATTAACTAATTTGTTCAGTTACCTGCATTAACAAAACACACCTTTTCACTTAAATAACTAAGATAAGGTCATTTTCATTGCTGCATTTGTTGCAACGCTTGTTTTTTTTATATCTTACTGTAATCTTCTGTTTTTTGTCTCAGGTACTTCATTTTTGTAGACATTGCTCTTTTGCAAACATCATACAAATCATATTTGTACTAAGCAACACTGGTGATTAATAGACTGTGTTGTGCTCTGCAGGAGGGGGCATCTCAAGCTATGCTGGACAGAAGGGGGCCGCAGGCCGCAGCCTGGAGGCGTGTCTGAAACAAGCCGTGCTGGACATCCCCCAAACCCGCCATCACCTCACCCCTGTCTACCTGGGAGCCACAGCTGGCATGAGGCTTCTGAAGTGTGTTTGTGCTCGTATCTGTGCAAGACTTGATTCTTTCCCTTGAGAAGCGTGTAAGGCCTTTTATCTCTGTTTTCAGCATCTCCAGCCCTGAGATGTCAAAGCAGGTTCTTCAGGAGGTGGAAGACAAAATCAAGTCCTTCCCTTTCTGCTTCCGAGGTGCAACCATACTGAGTGGACAGCAGGAGGGAGTGTACGGCTGGGTCACAGTGAACTATCTCTTGGAAAATTTCATCAAGGTATCCCACTGTGTCCTATTTACCCCATCCATGCTTTTGACACAGTCTTTGTGCTTCAACTAATGACCTACTTCTCTTTATTTTACATATTAACAACAAGGAGTCGCCATCGGTGTCATTAGAAACACCTGCCATGTATTTTGACTTTCTGTCCACTTTATTAGAAACACCTTCCTTGTACCTCCTCTCACTGGCCACTTTATTAGAAACCCTTTCCTTGTACTGTCACTCACTGGCCACTTTATTAGAAACCCTTTCCTTGTACTGTGACTCACTGGCCACTTTATTAGAAACCCTTTCCTTGTACTGTCACTCAATGGCCAATTTATTAGAAACACCTTCCTTGTACTTTTACTCACTGGCCACTTTATTAGAAACACCTTCCTTGTACTTTCACTCACTGGCCACTTTATTAGAAACACCTTCTTTGATCTTCCACTCACTGGCCACTTTATTAGAAGCCCCTTCTTTGTGCTTCTAATAAAGTGGCCAGTGAGTGAAAGTACAAGTTAAATGATAAGCTCACTGTCCACTTTATTAGAAACCCTTTCCTTGTACTGTGACTCACTGGCAACTTTATTAGAAACCCTTTCCTTGTACTGTGACTCACTGGCCACTTTATTAGAAACCCTTTCCTTGTACTGTCACTCACTGGCCACTTTATTAGAAACCCTTTCCTTGTACTGTCACTCACTGGCCACTTTATTAGAAACACCTTCCTTGTACTTTTACTCACTGGCCACTTTATTAGAAACACCTTCCTTGTACTTTCACTCACTGGCCACTTTATTAGAAACACCTTCTTTGATCTTCCACTCACTGGCCACTTTATTAGAAACCCCTTCTTTGTGCTTCTAATAAAGTGGCCAGTGAGTAAAAGTACAAGTTAAATGATAAACTCACTGGCCACTTTATTAGAAACATCTACCTTGTACTTTCACTCACTGTCCACTTTATTAGAAACATTTAACTTGTAGTTTCACTCAGTTGTCAGCTTCAGCGGCCATAAATGAAGTGTAGTATTGCTGGACAGTGCATAGGCCCATCCAGACCATGATGTATATGTTTTTATTGGTTTAGCACATGTGTATCTATAGCTCTATAGTGTTCATTTAAAAAAAAATCTTTTTTTAAAAACCTTTTTTAATTTTGCCTCCTCACTCTTCAGTACAGCTTTGTGGGCCACTGGATGAAACCAGGCAGACAGACAGTCGGTGCCCTGGACTTAGGAGGGGCGTCTACTCAGATCACTTTTGTAACCACGGAGAAAGTGGAGGATGAAAATAATCGTATGACTCTGCGTCTCTATGGACAGGACTATTCTCTGTACACCCACAGCTATCTATGCTACGGTAAAGAAGAGTTCCTGCGGCGGCTTCTGGCCCTCCTGATCACAGTACGATATCATTACAGTCAGCCATGTTTGCTCTCTATGTGTATGTATATTTGATGCTGGAAAAGAGGGAGAAAAAAGCAATGCAGCAAATCAGTGTGTAGGACAGGAACTTTTCCTACTTTTTTTAACGCTCTGTCCCTCCAGTCCTCATACACATATTGTCACACATGCTGGTACGAGCATGCTGGCGAGATTGATGACATGTTTCTACCTCTCTGATTTCTGCTAGTCTCAGGGTACGACAGGTACTGTCTATAATCCATGCTACCCAACTGACCACAACGAGACACTGGAGCTGCAGCAAGTGTTTGAGTCGCCCTGCACGATATCACAGCGGCCTGCGCCTTATGAGCCAAAGGCGTCAGTGACGATACAGGGCACAGGAGACTACCACCTCTGTGTGGGCAACATATCTGAGATATTCTCCTGGCAGGACTGCCCGTTCTCCCAGTGCTCCTTTGACCATGTCTTCCAGCCCAACATCACTGGAAGCTTTATGGTAAGCAGGGGTGGAAATGGGCCGGAACCCTGTTCCAGGTGTAAAAGTAGATACAGAACAGTGTTCCGGCTCAGATGTTCTACTCTGTTCTAAAGGGCCTGTTTACACCTTGCATTAACATGTATTTGTGGTGATCAGATCTTGTTCGAATTTCACTTGACTGCATTAAAAGCAAGGTGTAAACACCCCCAAGATGCACTCTGAGCAGATTACGATCTGATCACTCAGGCCATATTCATAGGTGATCAGAGACGGATCTTGACCACATTTAACACTAGTATAAACAGAATGTGTTTTCATTTTTTGTATATAGTTGCATGAGCGGAAATGCATCTGCCAAGCGCTGACAAATAGGTGAGAGAATAAACAACAAAACAAAACATGGCGGGAGTTTGGGGCTCACTTCAGTGAGGCTAAACCAAGAGCCTTCATGCACTCTGGACTGATGAAAGTGTCCAGGCCAAGCTTATACATTCTAGTAGTAACAAGAGAAAAAAGTTAACAAAATTAAATGAAAACAATATGTGTTGACTTGCTTTTCACACTGGAAAAGTACAATCGGATCTCATCTGGTCAAACTGAGGACGCAATTTAGTGAAAAAATATAAATGAAAACTGGCCAAGTTGATCCAGACACTATGTTGATGCCAAGCACGTGTTAATGCAATGTGTAAACAGGCCCAAAGTGTGTGCACAAAGCAAAGCGTCTGTTAAATGCACTTCAAGTTTGTGAAGGCAGCCAAGGAATTTCACGATCGATAATAAACGTAGTGATTTGTTTTCTAATTGTCTTCAAACTTTAGTGGCATTCATTTAAATATTTAGTCCACTCAACTTCATTAATGATATCTAAAGATTTGTGTATTTATTGCTGAAATTTTCAATCAGTGGTCTTACTATAATATGTCCACTGTAACTTAGCATTTGCAATTATAAGGTGGCGTACTGACACTGATACCCAGCTAGCTAACCTGCTAATATGAGCCATTCATTATGAGCTTTGGTATCTAAATATAAACATATCTAATGTAAAGGTAACTGGACACTGAATGTCTTGGCATTCTATATTTACATAATGAATGAGGTGGTTTAGTATTTGTGATGCAGTAGTGGTTGTTTTGATCAATGTTTGATGATTTGCTTTGTAGTCTCTGCCTTATTGGAAAGCTTATTTGCACTGTTTTTTGCATGGGGGATTCCCCGATGTTTAATCAAAGCATTAACAGTGTGTAAGGTGTGTAATGAAAATGCCTCAACTGGACAGACATCTACATTTGCAACAATCAAAAGTATTGTTGTTGTTGTCAACATGCATGCGTTTGAGTATTTTTCATCTTTTAGTTAAGGTTGGAGACCCCTGTTTAAAAGTGTTATTATTTTTAATGTAGGAAATGCACTGGAGCATAACTGGTTGATTATAAACATGCATGAATGGAAGGGCCAGTCATAAGGCGTATTTTGATGTAAAAATGCACCAGAAACAGGCATTTAAGGTTGTGTTTTCACAAAAAAACCTTTGGTTCCCCCAGTAAAACTTGGAAACTTGGTTATTTCCATCCCTGACATTAAGTGATAGTGAAGTAGTACTGTGAATAAACGAAGATTGACAACTACAGTTGTATAGTTGTATAGTCCTATATAGTGCAAACTAACTTCCATAACTATTTGCTTTGACTTACACTGGCCTTTTCATTTCAGTATATAATGAAATGTTGACACAGCCTGTACAGGCAAGGCAGGGCAAGTTCATTTATTTAGCACCTTTCATACACTGCAGTCATTCAAACTGCTTTACAACTGAGAAAATGCAAAGATAATTCCAATTAAAATGTAAAAAGATGAAAAACACGGTTGAAACATGATTAAAACCATAGATTTAAAAGAGAAGAAATTGAACATTAAATGTAAAATTAAAATATTCAGTGAGGATAATAAAGTGCTGTTACAGGAGTGAAGTGCAGTACAGCTACCAGTGTTCTAAAGCTGCTCAGATAGGAACGTTTTCAGCTCAGATATGTACATTGTGGATCATGGATTCTCTTTTTTATGTCTCATCTTTCATGCATTTCTCTTTCAGGCCTTCTCTGTCTTCTTCTTCACATACAGTTTTCTGCAGAAGAGTGTAGGCATCACAATCAGCACCCCAGAGCTGCTGCAGCAGGCTGCCCAGACAGTGTGCAACATGACCGTTGAGGAGGTACATGGAAGAATTTAACATACTGGGGAAAAATAAAACATACAGCATTGCCTGTGCAAAATATATGCCTTTAAATTCCCAGGCTTATTACATACTAAGGCTTCAGTAACTACAGGGACTTCAGTGCAAACTGGCTGAACTATTCAAATGTTATAGACGTGTGTAATGAAGTAAAAACAGCCATGTAAGGGGTTAAACTTGAATAAATAGAAATTATGTACTAAAACGAGCAGAAAATGCCACATTGAAGTTTAATGCTAAATTTTAATAAAGTTATTTTGACTTGGACAATGAACAAAAGGGTGTTCAAACCTTTGCACACGATGGCATATGTATTTAAACTCATAAAGACTGAATAAACTAGGTATTGGATGGTAACTGTAAATACTGGGATTCCTTGAGGAGAGGTTTGGGAATAGTTACGTTGACTCACTAACGCACAACAAATCACAATGTATTGTTTATTTGTATTTATTTTAATGGTGTTTTTATTGAATAAATACCACCCCGTTTCCAAAAAAGTGCAGAATGTAAATTAAAATAGAATGCGATGATATGCAAATCATGTAAACCATATTTTTAAAGGAAAATACTACAAAGACAACATATCAAACGTTGAAACTGAGAAATTGTATTGTTTTTAAAAAATATATATGCCCGTTTTGAATTTGATGCCAACAACATGTTCCAAAAAGGTTGGGACAGGGGCCTGTTTACCACTGAGTTACATCACCTCTTCTTTTAACAGCACTCTGTAAGCGTTTGGGAACTGAGGAGACACTGCTGTAGTTTTGAAAGTAAAATGTTCATGTAGGATATCAGCTGCTTATTAGTTTGGGGTCTCCTATATATTTTTTTTTCATTTCATCAGTAGCTGACAGGTCTGGACTGCAGGCAGGTCAATTTAGCACCTGGACTCCTTTGCTACAGAGCCATGCTGTTGTAATACATGCAGAATGTGGTTTGACATCGTCTTGGGCATATATTTTTCAAAAAACAATAACACTTCTCTGTTTTATGAGGACTTGTTATATGTTATATGTTGTCCTTGTACTATTTTCAATTAAATATAGTGTTTAAATTATTTGCACATCATTGCTTTTTGTTTTGGTTTTTTACATTTTGCACAGCGTCACAAATTTTGGAAATTGAGTTGTAAAAGCTTCTGCCTACATTAATATTAACATAAAACTGCCCATAACATATATATATATAGTATATGTGGAGCATATCTATGACCCCACATTGTGCGTCTGTATGTGTGCACATGTATGGTGATTGTAAGAGTGAGTCGACTACATTTAACATTCAAAGCTCCCACATACACTATATTGCCAAAAGTATTCACTCACCCATCCAAATCATTGAATTCAGGTGTTCCAATCACTTCCATGGCCACAGGTGTATAAAACCAAGATACAAACATTTGTGAAAGAATGGGTCGCTCTCAGGAGCTCAGTGAATTCCAGCGTGGTACCATGATAGGATGCCACCTGTGCAACAAGTCCAGTTGTGAAATTTCCTCACTACTAAATATTCCACAGTCAACTGTCAGTGGTTTTATAACAAAGTGGAAGCGATTGTGAACGACAGCAACTCCTAAAATGACAGAGCGGGTCAGCGGATGCTGAGGCGCATAGTGCGCAGAGGTCACCAACTTTTTGCAGAGTCAATCGCTACAGACCTCCAACTTCATGTGGCCTTCAGATTAGCTCAAGAACAGCGTAGAGAGCTTCATGGAATGGATTTCCATGGCCGAGCAGCTGCATCCAAGCCTTACATCACCAAGCGCAATGCAAAGCATCGAATGCAGTGGTGTAAAGTGCCGCCACTGGACTCTAGAGCAGTGGAGACGTGTTCTCTGGAGTGACCAATCACGCTTCTCCCTCTGGCAATCCGATGGACGAGTCTGGGTTTGGCGGTTGCCAGGAGAACTGTACTTGTCTGATTGCATTGTGCCAAGTGTAAAGTTTGGTGGAGGGGGATTATGGTGTGGGGTTGTTTTTCAGGAGTTGGGCTCGGCCCCTTAGTTCCAGTGAAAGGAACTCTTAATGCTTCAGCAGACCAAGAGATTTTGGACAATTTCATGCTCCCAACTTTGTGGGAACAGTTTGGGGAGTTTGGCCCCTTCCTGTTCCAACATGACTGCGCACCAGTGCACAAAGCAAGGTCCATAAAGACATGGATGAGCGAGTTTGATGTGGAAAAACTCGACTGGCCTGCACAGAGTCCTGACGTCAACCCGATAGAACACCTTTGGGATGAATTAGAGCAGAGACTGTGAGCCAGGCCTTCTCGTCCAACATCAGTGTCTGACCTCACAAATGCGCTTCTGGATGAATGGTCAAAAATTCCCATGAACACTCCTAACCCTTGTGGAAAGCCTTAACAGAAGAGTTGAAGCTGTCATAGCTGCCAAGGGTGGGCCGACATCATATTAAACCCTATGGATTAAGAATGGGATGACACTTCATATGAGTGTGAAGGCAGACGAGCGAATACTTTTGGCAGTACAGTGTACATTCATATGTGTGTTTCTTTGTGTCAGATGTTTAAGAGAGATGAAGAAGAGAGGTCATACCTGAAGGAGTACTGTGCAGTTACTGTGTACATCCAGGTCCTGATGCTGAGAGGATACCACTTTGATGAGCACTCCCTCTCTCGAGTTACCTTTCAGAAAAAGGTGAGATGTGGTCACTCAGAAGAACTTACTCATTAAAGGGCCCATATACTGCATTTCCTTGTATATGGTTTTACATATCAAACAAACCTAATTCATTTTTAATGACCATTTTGCAACCTCTCTTTAATTAGAATTAGAGCTTGTTTTTGTAGCTGTGCCTTTAAGACTGATCTGTGTGATCTCTGTTCTGATTGGCAGTCAGGATGAAACACTCCTTGTAACTTTTAAATTGACATAGGCTGAATAGGCTGTTATGTGCACATGTGTTGGTCGTTGTGGCATCACAAATGCAATTCATTCAATTTGGAGGATGATATGGGCCCTTTAACTAAATCTGAATTAATGTACACTCACTGGTCACTATTTTAGAAACCTCTCTCTTGTAGCTCTACCTTGCCGGTGTACATTTAAAGACTTGTTTGACAGCCCTTTTTATAATACATGTTTTTAATATTGGCAGTTTCTTCCACCAAAAAATAATTCAACAGCTTGAAGTGACTATTATTATTAATGCATTGTTACATCCGGTGGTCAGAAAATTGTGCTATTACTGGACATAAAAACACAAGCAGGACACTTTCCAACCAATCACACTGTGTTGTCAGAACTAAGTGCTTTAAAACTACTATGAATTATTATTCTATAACTACAAAGGGGCTAGTATGCATGTTTTGTAGTTATAAGAGTGCAGAATGAAAATCCTGACCCACCCACAGGTCTTATAGAGTTTAAGGAATTATAAGAGGGTTAATATTCATTCGTAATAAAGTAATATTTTATTTAGCTAAATAAATGTATTCGCTGGGCACTTTATTAGAAACTCTTCCCTTGTAGCTCCACCTTGCTAGTGTGCAGTTAGAGACTGTAGCTCATCTATTGATGCACTGCCCTGATAGCAAGAGGACCATGGTCCACTGTCGGCCCGCTAAAGGCAACACTGGCGGTCCACTGGCATTTGCTCAGCGTTTTCCGGTTGGTCCACTGGCAGTTGAGCGGAGTATTAGACAAAAGTCCACTTATCATCACTCATTTTCCACTCGCAGTCCAATTTACTGATTTCTCTAATTTTAATCCAGCACAGTATCAGCAACATCACTTTCTATAAAATCATTTTATATCAGGCCTAGTCATTATTTTTTTTCTCTCGGTTGTTTGTAAAATTTTATTAAAAGTTTATTTTCCAAAATAAAAGTCTCTGTGCATTTAAAATCTATTTAAGGAGATTAAAAACTAGCCGGAGCTTGTATTCAGGACAATAATCTGGGCGGTCCAAGAGTGGACCAGCAGTGGCAAACAGCTAGCGGGGTGCCAACCTTTTCAAACCGGCGGACTGATATATTATTTCTGTCTGGGAGTTTCTGTTAGCCTTCCTCTCTCTTCATCAGTGGTCAGTTTCTGACCACAGAGCCTGGATATTTTAGGTGGAAGTCCACTCTCAACCTCGTAGTGACACAGACTGTGTAAAAAAACTCCAGTAACACCACTGTGTCTGACACACTCATACCAGCACCACACATGCTGCCATGTCAGTGTCACTGCTAAGAATGAATCACCACCCAAATAAGACAGCAGGGGTCCTGTGATCAGAAACTGACCAGTGATTGACAGGATAAAGGGGGCTGATAAATTGTGCATTGGGCCCCAGTCCGTTGTCGTATACCCGTATAAAGTCATATGCAAAGGTTTGTACGTCCTTGGCCAAATTACACGTTTTGTTCATTTTCTCAGTAACATTAGGTTAAAGGGCCCACATCCTATATTTTTCTTATATTTTATTTTTTCCTTGAGGTCCTTTTATAACATTTGTGTGGATTTATGTACCAAAAATTGTCATAATTCATTGTACATGATCATTTTTCAACCTCCTTTTATCCCCAGGTCGTTTTTGTTACTGCGCTATTAAGACTAATTGAGTTCTGATTGGCTGCCCTGTATTGTGCCTCATTCAAAAAGCACTCAGTGGTGAAACATTCCTTATAACTTCAGCATTAAGGGGTGGGGCTAAACTGCCGTAGGATAAATAGGTGGATAGATGTAAATGAGCATCTCGTGACATTACAGAAACAATAAATTCAAATCAGGCTGTTTTTGCAGGTTAGTTTCCATATATGGCCTGTATGGACTGGGTAGTGAATGCTATGCTTAGAAACCTTGTCAATGTTTACATATCACTCCAAACTCCTTTATTTCAAAAAAGCAAGTTTTAAAAGTGAGTTTAACATATGGACATACTGGGAAAAATAAAACATAAAATATTAACTGTGCCATTACTTTTGCACAGGCCACATTTTGTGTTTACTTTCGCTTTGAAAAATCAACAAAATATGTTAATTGACCAGGGATGCCTAAAATTTTGCATACAACTGTACATAGTGGATCTAAAAGGTAGGTGGACCTCATAAAGTGACCAGACAGTGGAAGTACAAGGTATGATTTCCTACTAAAATGAACAGTGGACATCTCAGCTTTTCAGACATCCTGCACTCGTATGAGATACTGACACTGTCCCCCATGTGTTTATGTGTGACGTGTCCAGGCTGGAGATGCCTCTGTGGGCTGGGCATTGGGCTACATGCTGAGTCTGAGCAATCAGCTGCCTGGAGAGAGTGTGGCGATGAGGAAGGGCATGCACACTGCGGCCTGGATCTTCCTCCTGATCCTCCAGATATGCCTCATGGTCAGCACACTGATCTTCATGGCTCTGCGCTGCTGGAAGAAAAGTTATGCCTGACAGTGACCAGTAGGGGGCGAAAAAGGATCAGTAAGGAAGGCCCAGCGAAAGTAATGAGTAGGTTTTTATCGAATAAAGGTTTCAGAATGGTGAATAAGTACCAGACTGTGTATATCTAACCATTAAAAACATTAGTTTGGACGAGTACAACAAGAATAAAAACATGTTGAGATGAAAGCTTTGCGTGAAGGTTAATCAATCTACCTCTATGTTCATTCAATCAATCAATCAATCAACCTTTAGTTAAACTCATAGTACATCAAGGGTGCCCCTTATTTACAATGCAGCAGGGCATAATACAAAAACAAGGGAATGAGAAGAGTAAATAAAAAATAAAAAAAACATAATTCAATGGTTGAAATGTAAATGTAAACTAGGTCATTCAGAGTGGTTTGATGTGAAATCATTATTTGTGGAGAAACCTGCCAGGTTTCTTTGCAGTGGTGGTGATGGGAACCAGGGGTTATAATGTCTACAACACATCAACACTACATTTCACATCAAACCACTCTAAATGACTTTGTTTACCATTTAATAATGCGTAAATTCTGAAAAAGTGGTGGAATTCCCCTTCAAGCCACAGGCCTCAGCTTTATATTACTGAGCTTTTTATTTTTTAATTATGGATTAAGGACAAAATAAAGGGGAAAGAAAAGCAAAGAATATGTCCCTCAAAGTAAAATACATTTGTACATTTGTAAAAGCAAAAAATAAAAACTGACCACTCTGCTGTTTATGCTTCATTTAATTAACATGCATCCAGTGTTCTTTGCAGTTCTCAGTTTCCCCTGCTTCCCCTTAAAGTCCTCTGAGGGGCACTGAATAAATTTGTGCTGCAGCAGAGACTCTGCAGGCAAATATTGAAACAATTTCAGAATAATGTTTCTCAACATAAAAAAGTAAAGAACTTGGGTATTTCATCATCTGCAGTACTTAATATCATTGAAAGATTCAGAGACTCTGGAGAAATCTCTATATGCAAGGGACAAAGACAAAATCCAATATTGGCTGGCTGCGATCTTTGGGCACTCAGGTGGCACTGCATTAAAAATAGACGTCATTCTGTAGTGGAAATCACTGCATAGGCTCAGGAACACTTTCAAAAACCACTATCTGTGAACATAGTTTGTTGCTACATCCACAAATGCAACTTAAAACTCTACCATGAAAAGAAGAAACAATATGTAAACAGGAATCAGAAACACTGCCACCTTCTCTGGGCCAGAGCACATTTAATGGACTGAGGCAAAGTGGAGAAGTGACTGAGAACGAGAAAACTTACTTTTCTCATGGTCATTCTGCAGAAAACGAGATAATACAACATTCCTGTATTTATATAACAAATGGAATCTTCCATTTTTTACAGGGGGTTACAGATTTGGGTATAAGGGTTGCGCATACAATGTGGGACACAGGTTAAATCCTTTTCTATTAAATCGAATAAATTAATAGGGAAAAATAATTCTCTTAACTTAAAACTGCTCGAAAAGGAACCGAAAAACATTTGACTTACGGTGCAACTGGAAGGTTTTAATACACACATTTCATAGAGAATTCAATGTCAGTGAGGTGGGACAGTCCAAAATCACCACATTAAAAGTGGATGCAGACAGTTTATGTGTTTTGGGATCATGTAAATGCTAATTTTAGTAATTTCATTTTAAGTTAAAGCACAGATCACTTTTTACAGAGATAAAAAACAACAGCAGTTACTTTATTCATGGAAAGTGTCACTAGGAAGCATAGAGTTCTTTAACTACTAATGATTATCATAATAATAATCATATGTGATCCATCATCTTGCACTCATTTTAATTACATTTTGCTTATATATGTATTTTTTTTATTTAATTTGTCCTGATTTATTTTTTACAATTTTGGCAAAGGCTGCAACTACACAGACTCGGGCCTGTGGGTGTCGATGCAGCGCATGCGCAGTGCGTTGCTTTGTGTTTGCCAAGATGGCGTTGAGTAAAACATTCGGTCAAAAGCCGATAAAATTTCAGCTTGAAGAGGATGGAGATTTTTATATGATCGGCTCAGAGGTACGTAAATAACAGCGACACCCCCTCGCCGAGGTCTAGGCTCGGATTAGTTCGCAGTCGCTGCTAGTTTAGACCGATAACACTGGTTGTTGTGCGTCCACTCTTTGTTGGCGTGTTAGCTTGCTAGCTAACCTCGCTAACTTCAGAGCCTCTAATGAATGAAGAAAAGACACGGGCGTCGCTTTTGGCGTTGGGTTTAGTAATAAAGCGGGATTTTGTTGACCATTATCTAATGTAAGCCTAGGCAAACACTACGAAGCTGAAGCTGGCTCATTATTCGCCAGCTCCTTCTTCGAATTTTCCCGTTCCACCTTAAATGGTGCTTCAGTTACATTGCAGCAGCGCGATTTAAGGTGGAGCGGGAAAATTCGAACAAGAAGCTACCGAATAGGAAGCCGAGTTCAGCCTCGTCCAGATAATTGCCTGTACTGAAGTTTATGTCCAGTAGAAAAGCTCGGACCTGCGGCAGTGTTCACAGTAAAAGAGCCAAGCCTCGACCTCTATAACGGCGTCTGTTACAGCAACGAGACATTTCTCAGTCCTGCTCCGTAAAGGGGAATTCCACCACGTTTTTCAAAATTTTCGAATAATTCAGCCATTGAGCTGTAAACAGAGTCATTCAGAGTGGTTTGATGTAAATCGGTTCGTTGCAGAGAAACTTAGACTCTTTACAGTGGTGGTGATAGGACCCAGGGGTCACAATGTCTACAACACAAATAAAGATATTTGCTATTTGCTAGTTTTTATGTTGGTAATGATGGTAGAAGACTTAGTTTACATCTCTGTCGTTTGACTGTGTAGAAGTTTTGAAATATCAGTGGCGTTTCCCTTTATTCCCTTGCATATGTTTTAAGTATTTTTTTTTATTTTTTCTTTATTTATAATGTTAGGCAAGTATAAAAAGTAAGTTCAGAGATTTAGCTTTAAATGGCTCCTAAGCTACTTCATGTAGCTAAGGTCCAATCAAGAAACATAACAAAAATAATACAATTTTAATTACAGTTAATCTCAAAGTACTTCACTCAGAAGCATTGGGTAGATAAAAATACCACTGTCTACATGATAACAATGATTTTGTATATAATATCATGTATAATAATTTTGTGATACATAGTGTACTGCATCATGTATGCCTCATTAAGCTCTTATTGCAGTGCATCCCTAAATTTCTCCTGGAGTCCTCTGCACTGCACATCTGCATATTTATTTTCTCTACTGGATTGGTTAGGACAGGAAAACACCTAACTGTGCAGTGCAATCCAGGAACAGAATTGGAAAACACTGTTTAAGAAACTTCTGTGCTCAGAGTGTGATTCCCTGATTTAGAAACAGTACTGGCCTGTTTGCCCTTTGAGCCCAAAAGCAGTAACCTGTATGTCACTGTGTTTGCTTTAGGTTGGAAACTACCTGCGTATGTTCAGAGGCTCCCTGTACAAGAGGTATCCATCACTGTGGCGAAGGCTCGCATCTGTTGAAGAGAGGAAAAAGATAGTAGCTTCGTCACACGGTAAGTGATTCACTTGCTTTTGCATTACGTTCACACGTTTTAGATGCCTTATGGTGACTTCAAGTCCAGAAAGCAGTTACGAACCTGAGAATAGGAGGCCACAGTCTCGTTTAGAGCATGCCTTTGAAATAGGTAGACGTTTAGTCCTGCTTCTGGACAGCAGTTTGTGCAGTGTTTTATTTTATGTTAGATCATGGTTACACAACTTTAGCCACCAGTGTGACCCTGCTGAAAGCGTCTGAGTGTGAAGAGATCTTCGAGGGGAATGATGAGAAATATAAAGCGGTGTCCATCAGCACGGAACCTCCAGCCTATCTCAGGTGAGGGCCAGTCTTTTTTTTTTTTTTCCCCCACTTACATTTAATTCTGAGTTAAAAAGGGCACCAAAAACATTATTCACATACCCTTTTCCAATGCAAATATTTCTTTTCTGATAAACCAGTTAGTCCTTTCATGTCAGTTCAAATAGTGTTGTTGCTTCTTGTCCTAAATTTTTATCCATTCTTTTTGTATTTTATGCAGCCCAGTACCAATACCCACTCATACTAAAATGCCATCTCTACCTCTACTTTTTTTGCCTTTTCATTTTGATTTGATGCTTGGAAACGTGTACTATTTTGAGAGTTTATTTTTTACACTGTAGTATTTACATCAGTTTTTCTTTTTTGTGAAAGTGAATGTCTATTTCTCTCTCTCTCTCTCCACATATATCAGGGAGCAGAAAGCAAAGAGGAACACTCAGTGGGTGCCGACCCTTCCCAACAGTTCGCACCACTTGGATGCTGTTCCTTGTTCCACCTCGATTAACCGAAACCGTATGGGACGAGACAAGAAGAGGACTTTTCCCCTGTGGTGAGACAGCTTCTTTAGCCACCATTTCACAGTGAACACAATGTTATACCAATCTTTAGTAAAAAGGCCTGACTGTATGAGCTGTGAATTTCAAATTTGAATGCCATTTCTGGAATTGTATTATTTTTTTTCTGTAGCAGTGTTTGTATTCAACATTGCATTCATTATATTTTCTAGCAATATTTTTTGAGCTCTGTTGACTTCTCTTAATGAAGATAATTATGACTTTTTGATCTTTTCCATAAACCAACAAAACTATGACCCACACACAAAGATATGTACCAATGAACAGGTTATATATGCACAAATTAATGGTGGCACATTTTAAAGAAATATGTCATTGTTGATCAGCCAAGACATTTTTGGTATTGCTTCTTTTTTTTTTTTTGCACTGGAGCCAATAGTCATCTAAAATCGTCTCTGTAAATACATCCCCAAAACAACTTCTCAACACACTCCAACTGCACCCAGGTCCTCATTAAGTAGGCACAGACTTGTAAATGTGGTTTAGGACACAGTGACTTACTGTGAACTGTAAAAATGAACAAAACTTAACAGTGTAACTGAATGATGTGGGCCGCCACTTCAAACTGCAGGTGTTGTGCTGAAATTTGAATAACCGTAGCATGCACATCACTCAAGACACCGCAGATTACATTTGTGATTTCTGTCTTTGCTTTTATAAATAACTGTTAATCTTTCATTTTTTTAACTTAAGATGTATGCTTAGAAATAGAAAGAAGAGAAGTCACAAATATAATCTGGATGGTGAGTTTTTTTTTGCAGTTTTATAGTTCATAATAAAACGTACAGTGATCTTAATCACATCACAAGCACGTCTTGGCTGATCGATGATGTCTGAAGTAACCATCCCTTTAAAAAGCCGCTTCTATTACAACCCCATTTCCAAAAAAGGTTAGGACGCTGTGCAGATTGTAAATAAAAATAGAATGCAATGATATGCAAATCATGTAAACCATATTTTTAAAGGAAATTCTACGAAGACAACATATCAAATGTTAAAACTGAGAAATTTTATTGATTTTTGAAAAATAAATGCCCATTTTGAACTTGATGCCAACAATTGTTCCAAAAAAGTTGGAAATAGGGTTGTATAATATCCTTTGCAGTTCTTATTTAATTATTGAGGCTGAAACTTTAAGCCAGTTTGCACTACATTTGGAAAGTTTCTAATCTTTAAAAGCCAAGTCTCTGAACCCCTGCTTGAGACCCAAAAAGTCCCACTTCAGAAATTTTGAGGAATTGCACCCGATTCTTGCGTAAGAATACATTTCCCATCCCAGCTAATGGAGCACTCGAGTGCTCATAAATTCTGGAGTACTCTGAGAAGGTTGATGCCTTGTATAAAGACACCAGACTCTGCTCTGAGGCTGCGTGTAACATTAATTCTTCTAATTGAGTGGTCAGCACAAACATTTATGTCTGCTGGGTTGCAATTCTGAGTAATGACAGCAAAACCTACAGAAAAAACTGTGTCTATGGTGTGGGCTCTGTAATGCTCTTGTGACAGTATAACTCTTCTTGTGTTTTAGTTTGACTGCTATGCTTTTTACGTTCTTTGTAGCTCGTCCAAACTGCGGGCTTTTGAGTTCAGCACGGATGCTTTTTTATGATTAAGCCGTTTCTGAATATCAACACAAAGTCGTAAATATATGCTGTATAATAGTGCTGTCAGCAAGACTGGATCCAGATTGGGGTTTGAGGGAATCAAAGCAGTGACCTGATGACAGGGAGCTGCCTTCCTCCCTTTCTGGGTGTTTGTTTAAGGTCAGCAGGCCAGCAGCGACTCACAGCTTGGCTGTCTTTAGACTTAGAGATGCCTTCCTTTACCAGCAGTCAGCTTATTTTCTGTTGATTCTCCTAAAAACTGGTCTTTTTATAGGCGCAACAGTCTCTAAAGGATGACCTGTCTTCCTCTTGTACTCCCACACAGTGGCGATAACACTGAGGCATCCAGTCAACTTCTAAAAGCGGTCTGGTTTATCAAAACAGAAACTAGCCAGCCTGAAATGTGGTTTAGGTCCTTTGTTGTCTTCTGTGTGATTAGGTTGAGAGATATTGCCAGAAGTAGAGGCATATGCCAAAAGTATCCGGACAATTCACAATAATGTGTGAATTCGGCTGCTTTAAGGTGCACCCAATGCTGACACACGCATTCAATTGCCCACACACAGCTTATACAGTGTCAGTAGAAAAGCATTGAATAAAGGAATGGGATGCTCTGGAGCAGCCACGCATGAGCCTAAGGTCACAATGCCAAGAGTCAGTTAGAACGGTTTAAAGCTCCCCAGCATTGGGCTGTGGAGCAGTGGACCTATGTTTTCTGGAATGATGGAGCTCCATCCAGTACCTTTGGGTTGAGTTGGAGTGATCCAGAACTGATCAGCCAACATCAATACCTGACCTCACTGATGCTCAATCAAATCCTCACAGCATTGTTATAGCAACTAGTGTAAATCCTGCCCAGAAGAGTAGAGGCTGTTACTGCAGCAAAGGAAGACAAACTCCCTATTAATACCTTTCATTTTGGAAGAAATATTGAATGTGCACTTGTCTACAAACTTTTGGACAGCATACAGTCAGTAAACAAATGATACAAGAAATACGAAGGCACAACCACAAAATATACGGATCTTAATTATACAAACTGAATGTAAAAGGTACATGCAGCAATACAGATCAGGGGCCGTTTTACAGAAGCTTCCTATCTTTTTGTCTTAATTTAAATATCTGACAGGTCAAGATAAGATTTTTTACAAATTCGTATTACAGAAGCAAATCTTATCTTAATTTAGTAATCTTATCTTACAGCATTTTATCTTATCTGAAGTTAAGAAATCTTAACTTACTCGATGGAAGTCGACAATCAACTGTCACGTCCGTTACCTAGCAACCGACCATACGCGCACAGCTGAAACGTAAACGGCATCAAAGTAATCAAGTTAGTTAGCCAGACACCTAACATTAGGTACCGTTACAGTTAATAATATTGTGTCAGAGCTTTGTGCTGTTAATCAGAGCATCTCCGCCCTCAGTTTCAGTTCCAGTTCCCAAACGCTTTAACAGAACTCACTAACGTTATTTCCCATAATAAACAGGCACACGTTCAGCTCTGTCTCCTCATTATTCACCACCATCACTGTAATATTCTATCTGATGAGTTTTCATCAACATTCAGACACAAAGGTAATAAGAGGGGTCGGTGGAGATCGAGTCTGCAGCGCCTGGGTTTTAAAACGCTGTTAGAAAAAAAAACCCTCACAAGTCAAAGCACCGTTATCAGTGTAGATAAATGTAACGTCATTATGCTAATGTTAGTTATAGTGAACTGTGCTGCCTCTCACTGCATAAAACAGTAGAAACAGACGGTTAAAACTGAAGTTAAGACACTGTTGGGATTTATCTTAAAGTTAGGATGAAATTTAGTCTAGTTAGGATGTTTCTGTAATACAGTTTTCTTACCTGGAGTTAATGGATAAGATTATGAACTTAAGAACTGTTGTTCTGTAATAGCCTCTGTCTTAAATTCAGTCCTAACTAAAGTTGTCATGGTGACTAAGCAGATAGGATAGGTTTCTGTAATATGGCCCCAGGTTCTTTGAGATTACATGATGTTAATATTCACTGCTGTACGCTGCTTCATGGCACGCTTGATGTCACTGTTGGTTTGTTGAATCAGAGATTGTATTTATACTTGTATGGTTTTCTGACTTTCGACTTTTAGCCTGGCAGATGGACGTTTTATTGTGCATTGTAATTCTGTCAAACTTGTCACTAACTTTGAGATGCACTTTATCTGAAACCAATGTGTTCACTTCGATCTGGACTGTCATCACAGATGATCCATATGTTCTGTGGCATTGTAGTGCTTGAAAGTCTACATCCACACAGGGATGTTTTGACACTCCGGATCTTTTTGGGGAATTTGTGGTCCAATTGTCTGGTTAAAGCTGTTCCATGCAGATGGTGTCTACTGTGTGTTAGGGATGCACAGTATATGTGTATGTTATCATGCAATGCTGATATTGCAGACACCTTTTACTGTGTGCTGTGAGCATCCTGACTAAGCAAGAGGCCCCGATGAGTTTCTGTGAGTGATCTGGTAAATCAAAAAACAGTTGTTAATGTAATCCAACCAAAAGTAAGTTATTTTGTCATTCAGGCCAATATTTAAATACGTAAAATGATTCATGGATGCATTTTTAATATGTTGCAAGGTATATTACAGTATATAGCAGTATGATTGCAATACAAGTGTTTTGTCCATATTGTGCAGTCCCAGCCTGTGTTAATGGGCTTCTGTCTTTGGTTCTCTATAGTTTTGATGACCATGACCCAGCAGTGATCCATGAGAACGCCTCTCAGGCAGAAGTTCTTGTTCCGATTCGACTGGACATGGAGATAGATGGCCAAAAGCTCAGAGACGCCTTTACCTGGAACATGAATGGTAATGCTGCACCACAATTCACTTGCAGAAACTACCGAGAAGTATATTCAGAACCAGTCATAATGTACAATCCATGGCACACTGTCTAGTGTAACATAATTATACATATTTGTGGTATACATATTTATTTTGAAACTAGCCATACGCAGATATCTACACAATGTATAAGGATGAACTATTTATGCGTCAGTGCACTGAGTTTCAACATGTGTAGCTGTATTTTTCTCCAGTACTTTTTGTGTTTTTGATCTATTAGAGAAATCGCAGTATTTATAATATCCTTCCTGATTGTCCTACATTGTTTCTTCACTCCAGAGAAGCTGATCACCCCTGAGATGTTTGCAGAGATCCTTTGTGATGATCTGGACCTGAACCCCTTGACCTTCGTCCCAGCCATCGCCTCAGCCATCCGGCAGCAAATAGAGTCCTACCCCACAGACAGCATACTGGACGAGCAGACTGATCAGAGAGTCATCATCAAGGTCAGTAGCTTCGAGACCTGCATAAGGGGTCAAGAGATAAATTTGATGGATTTATCTCTGGTCTCCTTTCCAAAGCAAGTTAGTGTCACTCTTTTGTTTTTTTTGTTTTTTTTTTAAGTAGGGCTGGACAATACAATGCTGGCTGCTTATATTATTTGCTGACATTGTCAGAATTTCATTATTTTCATCATTATTATTGGTCCAATAATGGAATTACCAACAATAACCTGCTGGCCCATTTGTGCTTGTGTACATACTGTTGCGTGTGTGATCACTAGTGGTGGGCATTTCTGCAAACTCACTGAGATGGCGCACGGTAGATAACGCCCCACAACATTTAACGTAGAAGACTGGACATCTGATTGTGTTTAGCCACTGCTATACCAATAAAGCTTTGTTCACACAGCAGGTAAAAGTGGCCCAAGTCTGATCTTTTTCTTCATATGTGGTACAGATGTGACATCTGTGTGTCAGTGTGAGCAGCAAAAAACACATTGAATCTGACATTTTCAATTCCGATTTGAGACGCTTCCATATGTGGTACTAAAATCTGATACATATCCAATATGCGGCATCACGACTCAGTCTGAACAGCCAGATCGGAATTCATGCAACTTTGTCAATCCAACTTGACATTCGTCATAATTTCGTGCTGCTGAGACTCAGAAACATTTAGGCTGATGTTTCTGTACCAAAACATTAGAAGGCACTTTCGAACGAAATGGCTGAACGCGGCCGTTGACAACGAGGCTGCAGCGTCAAAAAAAACCCAAAGAAGTGGCCGTGTCCAAATAACGCACCCTTTTTACGCCGAGCTCGAACACATTCTGGGTGATAAGCCCAGCTGTCAGTCATTGGGACTTCATAATTGTTCCTGTGATGCCAGAGAAGGTGAAACTGAACCCCCTGGGAGCAGACCAGCATTCGTTGGCGGTCATGATTGTTTACCTCTGGACGAGCCACGTGAAGCATTGTTCTTTTGTGCATGCTGGTCAGTTTAGGAGCTGATCTGTTCAGACTGATTTCGCATACAGATCACATTTAAAGTATATTGTGAACAGCCAAACAAAACGTTAAGATTTGGTGAGAAAATCAGATTTGGGCCACTTTTACCTGCTGTGTGAACGTAGCCCAAGAGTCCTGATTGCCTAATATTACATTCACCTACCAATTTAAGGCACACCGGTTAACAGTAGCTGCTACATGCATATCTGTTTAAGACAAATGTCATGGCATTGATCATTGATACAGTCAGGTTTTTAATCTTGCTTTTGCTCACTGCACACCTTAAATGGATAATAGTGTGAGCTCGTTTTAAAATGCAAAAAAGTAATATCAGTTACGAAAACAAATTTTGCCAGATTGAAAAACTGATAATCTTTCAATGTGGTGTTTGAAGTGTGTGTGTGTAGTTAATTAGTCTGTAATGTTCTATAATTAAGTGCAGTTTTTTCTATTTTTTGCGCTTTTAAATGAACCATAGATTCAAATAACTGTAAAAAGGAGATGGTTAAATAAAGATGAAGCAGTAAAAAAAAAAAAAGTCATGTGGCACATGTAAGACAAGAAAAAAACAGTTACTGAAAGATCACTGTGTTTATCAATTAGAGGCTCAAGGCTAATATATTTTTTATTAAAAATAAATAAATAAAAAAAGGCAGCATTCTCAGTAAACATCCTGTGTGGAGGCATGTGTGATCATACTGTTCTGCGTTACATAATGTGTTTGTTTATGCTGCCAGCTGAACATCCATGTGGGGAACATTTCCCTGGTGGACCAGTTTGAGTGGGACATGTCTGAGAAGGAGAATTCTCCAGAGACGTTTGCTCTGAAGCTGTGCTCTGAGCTGGGCCTTGGAGGAGAGTTTGTCACCACCATCGCCTACAGCATCCGCGGCCAGCTGAGCTGGCATCAGAGGACGTACGCCTTCAGGTGAGACGCACTTGCACGCACATACACATACCCAAGCATTGGAGGTTTGATTATTTACATACAGACCATTCTCAAATTTTAGTGCTGATATGGAAAGTATGCACAAGTAGGCACACATGCACACGTATGTTTACTCAGGTGCTGCTTCCCTTCTGACTGACACTCCAAGCACCATGAAACACTTAGTGCCCTTCTTGTGCCGTCAATATGGACACGATTAGAACCGGAAGAGCTGTTGATGGAGCAGCTTCAGGCTCTCATTCTATCAGTCACCACTTAGTCAGTGATGCTTTTTTAATGAGTTGGTTCATAGCTGAACCACTTACGCTGCTCGACTGCCTTCTTTGTTTTTCTGACGGAGCCGTTTCAGATGAAAAATAGTTGTGTATTTGTTTTTGACTAAATGATGACTGATGGTTTATGCACAGACATGGAGAGAGGAGAGATATTTTAAATCTTTTTTTTTTCCCTCCTTTTTCTTTTTGAATTGTGTGTTGATGGAGCCCATTTTTTCAGACGAAACCAAATTGTGCTGTTGTGACCAAAAATGAAGTATGCTTTTAGGCCATGCTAGGTCCATGCTTTTTTCCTGGAAAGTGAAAAAATTTGGATTAGTCAGTGTGCAAGTCTGTTGTGCCAGATTTTGTTGGGCCTGTTTTGTTCTGCAATTTTTATCAGTGTTATTTCATTTTTGATTTGTTTTTGCATGTAATGTTGAATGTGCTTTTTGTTTAATTTGTTTAGGACTGCAACTATTTAAACTATTGTTTTAGAATATTCTGTCTAATGTCTTGGAAATTCAGTAAATATATGTGGATAAAAAAGATCGACAATTTTTACTTTAAAAACTGGAAAAAAAACTTTTGTGGCTATTATTATTATTATTATTATTATTATTATTATTATTGTTATTACTATTATTAGTGCTTTTATATAAAATCTATTTATTTAACTAAATTGAAAAATTGCAAAATAATTAAAACCATCACTGATAGTTATTTTCATAGCAAGTTGCATTTAAATGCTAGAGTACCCAATCTGGCAACCCTGAGCTGGCTCTGTTCAAACAGCAGTAAGCGCTGCAGGAGAGCAGAGGAAATTCTGACATTTTAACCATCATCTTAAAACTAAAAACAGCGTTTTGGTTGACTCTTGTCAGTCAGGACGGGAACAAGGCTTTAAGCCATTATTCACCCAATGTGGTCTGAATTTTCCTTCGGCTCTAGACAGCTAGCTCGGCAGCAGACTGTAGTTTATTCTTGGTAATAAATAAAACTGAGAACGTGCTAGTTGTCAATCCGAAGCAGCAGGAAACTTATTTGCGCTACACAATTGCGAGAATCTTGCAATCTCTAGAAAGTCGAAGTGCAGAGCTGGCAGCTGTATTGCTACAGGTCACAAGCTAGTATTTAGCTTGATAACAAATGTTTGATTCCCCACAGAAGTGCGGGTTAGTTGCAGCCCTAAATTTGTCTGTGCATCAAAAGCCTGTATTCATTCATACACCCATCAGGCATAACATTATAACCACCTCCTTGTTTCTACGCTCATTGTCCATTTTATCAGCTCCACTTACTATATAGGTGCACTTTGTAGTTCTACAGTTACAGACTGTAGTCCATCTGTTTCTCTGATACTTTGTTAGTCCCCTTATACCCTGTTGTTCAATGGTCAGGACCCCCACAGGACCACCACAGAGCAGGTATTATTTGGGTGGTGGGTCATTCTCAGCACTGCAGTAACACTGGTGTGGTGGTGGTGTGTTAGTGTGTGTTGCGCTGGTCTGAGTGGATCAGACACAGCAGTGCTGCTGGAGTTTTTAAACACCTCAGTGTCACTGCTGGACTGAGAATAGTCCACCAACCAAAAATATCCAGCCAACAGCGTCCTGTGGGCAGCATCCTGTGACCTGATGAAGGACTAGAGGATGACCAACACAAACTGTGCAGCAGCAGATGAGCTATCGTCTCTGACTTTACATCTACAAGGCGGACTGACAAGGTAGGAGTGTCTAATAGAGTGGACAGTGAGTGGAGACAGTGTTTAAAAACTCCAGCAGCACTGCTGTGTCTGATCCACTCGTACAAGGACAACACACACTAACACACCACCACCACGTCAGTGTTACTGCAGTGCTGAGAATGATCCACCACCCAAATAGTACCTAACAAAGTATCAGAGAAACAGATGGACTACAGTCTGTAACTGTAGAACTACAAAGTGCACCTATATAGTAAGTGGAGCTGATAAAATGGACAATGAGCGTAGAAACAAGGAGGTGGTCATAATGTTATGCCTGATCAGTGTATATACACACAAACACGCGCTACACACACCGTGTCCTGTTTACAACAGTGGTTGACAACCATCTTCATTGTGGCCGTTCATCATGTGTTCTTACACACCAGCTCGTTCTTTATGACCTCCGTTATCTACAAACGCTGTAAACATTGTGGCCAGCTCACTCCCTACCAAGTTTACATTTTTCAGATGCTGAATTGACATGTTTTTGCAATGTTTGTGTCTCCTCTGCAGCATATGCTGATGTTTTCTAGCCTGTTATTGTGTTGCTCTCATTTTGCATGTACCATCAAATTACTGTTAATTTGGGGGGAGCCAGAGTTCATCTGAAGTGCCTTCTTTTTCTGTTGGGTGCCTGTAGATCAGGGATACAGATGACAGATATTAAGATAATGTGCCTTTTTTCACTACAAATGCATAAGTAAACATAGCTTATAGGAGTATAGGAGCTTTTGCTTATTTTCTTTGTTATTAACTTCACATAAAATCTCTAGAATGTATTCACTCGAGGGCTGTTATGGTTGAAGCTGGTTGTGGGTGGTTTGGGGGTAAAGGTGAATCTTATAATAATGCACGAGTGAATACATTCTAAGATCAACCTTAACTTCATCGTTGCTTTTGCTTTGCTGTAATCCTCTAATTGTTTGCTTCTCCCACTGTCTGTTCCAATAGGTCTGATTTCAGGTCAATATACTTCAAAATTTCTTGATCTTCTCTCCCTACTTATCCCCACGTTTACCCCCACTTCCACCTTCATGCCCCGGGAAGCTGAGTACCCTCATCTCTTCTTTTGTTTTGATCTTTGCAGGGCTTGTTCCTAGAGATTGTCCAGGTTTCTTCATAAGAACATAACATAAATGAATAGAATATTAAAAAAAACTTGATTTGGTTACAGTGTCACACAGCATAATCTTTTATATCCATTACTATCCATATCTATGCAGGGTCCATTATCTTTGGACCTATTTTAGCTTTCTATAGCACTTTGTTGAGAAATATGATACATTGACCCATATATGAATTTTAATGGAACTAGTGAGATCTGAAGTAACAGACAGTGGTTTGATTGAATGATGTAATTGTCCACTGCATGCGCTATGATGAACGATTGACCAAGATTTTGGGATTTCCCAGTATTATGTGCATGATCTAGCACATTATTGAATGCACATATCAAAGCTTGGAAGAAATAGTCACGTACTAGTAGCTGTAGATGCTGAATTATATGTTTAAACTGTGTAACTGTTTAAAGGCATCTCTTCAGATCGCCCTTCACCACTATGCCTTATGGGTCACCAGTGGAAATGTCTTTGGCCCTGATTTCCTCCTTCATGCTGTCATGATGTAACGTTTGTACTGACTTTCTGTGATTTTGATGTTTCCTGTAGTGAAAACCCCTTGCCAACGGTAGAGATTGCAATCCGGAACACGGGTGATGCTGACCAGTGGTGCCCCCTGCTGGAGACCCTGACAGATGCTGAGATGGAGAAGAAGATCAGAGATCAGGATAGGAACACAAGGTAAGAGTGTAGAACAGAAAGGGTTTGTGTGCAAAGTAGAGGCAGTCTTTTATTTCACTATTTAGACCTTGGTTATTAATTATAATTGTTGATTTTAAACAGGGGCTTTGCCATAGTTAAGGAATATTTCCCTAAAGTTTCCTTTAGTTGAGACATAAAACAAAATCTATCAGAAATGTGACTAATGCACCAAAATGTCTTATTTTTGACTTAAGGATGGATGAATGAACGAAATAAATGTTCTATTTTGTAATTAATCAATTAAAATGTTTACTTTTTAGTTATAAACTAAAACTATAGCTTAACATTTTATAAAATTCTTTTTTTGTTCTTTTTTATAAAAAGAAAATCAAACTTTAAAGAACTGCAAAAAGACAAGCAAGACAAGTTTCATGAAATCACTGGGCAGTGTGGCAACATGACGAAGAAGCAGAACCTGATTGGTCCTTTTGCGTGTATTAAAAGTGCTGATTGGCTCACAGATAGAACCTCATAGAACTCATAGTGAGAGTTTGACTTTGGAGACAGAACCATTTTGTTTTCTACGTAATGAGTCCAAAAATGCAGACAACTCAATAAAACACCTCACATAACATTTAAGAAGTTGTAGAACAAATGAAGAGTAAGAACAAATGAATAACTCAATTTTGACAAACATGTCAGAACCTTATAATTCCAAGCAGATGAAATACTTGCATTTATTATTAGTAGTAATTGCAATAAACAGTTCTTCTCTTAAGTAGCATGCTACATGAAGGCTATGATTGCTGGGCAGCGTAACAAAGAGTATGATAGTGATTTTAAATAGACATTAATACCATAGTAGTACCATAATAGTCCATTTGTTGTGGTTCAGTAAATCAGATTTTTGAAACTGAGCTAATTTGCTTTTTTATGATATTTTTAAATGTTCAGTATTCCTGAAACATCACTAACGACTCTTTCTTTGTGTTCCCAAGGCGCATGCGACGACTTGCCAACACCGCCCCCGCCTGGTAGAGAGAGGAGGTTAGGATGCCACCACTCGATAAGCTTAAGGCCTCCTATCGGCATCAGACCCCCCTGGAGCTGTCTGTTGCTGTTTAAAACACAGCTCTGGGTTACATTCCTCCAGTCTTCTGACCTCCTTCACAGCCCCAGCACCACATTACACACACATTCAAGGCATAGACGCTGTGCCTCCAAATTGACTTTGCATCGGTTGGACGTGTCAGGGCTACTTTGGGGCTACTTTCACTGATCATGAATGAGATGTAAATGAATCGCTCACTGTAACTGTTACTCTGATCTGACTGTAGAGAGACGCTTGTCTAGATATGATCGTGACCACTGGGACGTAGTTACGCACCTTTGCAGAAGAGGGGATGTTTATTAATTAATTGTGCTTTTCTTTTGTCAAAAGGTGCTGAGGCATACTATGTACCGGACTTGCATTTTTTTAAAGAAAATAAACGTCCTAATAAACTGATGCTGTTTCTTTTGACTTTATTTTTTGTTTTTTAAATTTGTGCCTGAATAGCCTCTGCATATTCATGTCGATGCCTTGCTGTGGTTAATGCTTTTATTATAGTCTTGTCCTGAGTTTGCTTCAGGAATTTGCTACAGCGATGAGTTTCCACAATCGATGTCCACCAACAGTCAGCATACAGGGAATTTTTAGGGCTAATTTTTAGTGTTTTCCTCTTACTTCCCCACTTTTCCTTAAGCAACGTCTGGTTCCATTGACTTACATTAAAAGTAAAGTAGGTCTTTTCCTAGATACCATTTTGGAGATATGAGGTTTCCTTCCAAAAACAGTGATATACAAATATATTATAAAGTTTTGGTATTTAAAACACACAAACATCTCAGGGTGGAAAAATGCAAGAAATAGGTAAGATATGGGCCCTTTAAGACTATCCTAACTATCCATTATGTCAAGGTGTCTGTCTATAGACTTGGGCTATAATATTGTTTACTGTGTGGAGGCATATATGGGTAATGGGCCGTATGTTTCATTGTTCGGCTAAAATAACTGATTTTTTTTGTTATAGTTTGGGTTAAACCTTAACATACTTTGTATTTCTAAAGCACCAGCCCATTAAATTTCCTACGTGCTCAGGCCATCTCCCTAATCAAGCATTTCACTTTCAAAGGCCTCCATGCACAGTGAGATTTTCCACTGGGCCTTTTGAAATGTTAAGATACTGTACTTTTATGTGAATGGAAACTGGAAGCAGTTCACACAAAGCCCAGGAAAGCCCCTCATTAACCACTGGATATACTAGATTAGATACTCCTATAATCCTCTGGCAGTATATCACAGCCTGTGTGATTGGTGCTGTAGTGAATGATAGATTTTTAAGGATTCTTCCAGGCCCCTTGAGCTTTTCAAGTCTGGCTTTGAGTCTTTTTATGATAAGAAACAATAGTGTGGTCATATAAATAGTCCCATATATTATTTTAGGCAATCAAATGAAAAAGGCATGTAACAGGTTTTACATACAGTGCAATATATAAGTATTTGGACAGCTGATGTGGTTCTGTACTCCAGTACTCCGGTTCTCTCAAGTAACTGAATAAATTACCATAAACCTAAGTAACACTGTCGTAGTGAGAACTTCCCAGTGTCTCAGTTCAGTGTCTTCCCTCGTGATGCTCTGGCAGCCCTTCTAAACCACTGAATGATAACTGAATTATTCAATGGTTTAGAAGTAAACAAAATAATTCAGAGTGGTGTGAAATACACATTTCTAGAGAAATGTATTGAGTCGGAATTGTTCACCATTATAGTGCTAGGAACTGGGAACCATATTACAGAAAATTATTAAGTCTGATATCATATCTGCTTTGTTGTCATAGCAACTTCAGTTAAGACTGAAGTTAGGACAGAAGCCATTACAGAACATCAGCTCTTAAGTCTATAATCTAATCTTATTTCCAGATAAGAAAACGGTATTACAGAAACATCCTAAGTTGCCAGAATATTATATATAAATCTTAACTTTAAGATAAACTCCAGATCTGTCTTAACTTCTGTTTTAATCGACTTTGTCTTTGTTCGTGGCCAGGAAGCTGTAATCTCGTTCCCACATCATACAAAGTCATGGCCACGACTTAATCATCTCATTCCCACGCCTTACTAAGTCGTGGTCATGCATTAGGATCTCGTTCCCGCGTGTTATTTTTATTCATACAGGATGTCACCAGCGAGGCTCCGTAATAACTAGAATAATGACGCTACATTTTTCTACACTGAAAACCACGGAGCCCCGCTGGTGACATCCTGTATAAATAAAGATAACGTGCGGGAACGAGATCCTAATGCATGACCACGACTTAGTAAGGCGAGGGAATGAGATGATTAAGTCGTGGCCATGACTTTGTATGATGTGGGAACGACATCACAGCTTCCTGGCCGCGCATTAAGATCTTGTTCCCACACTTTACTAAGCCGTGGCCACAACTTAATCATCTCACTCCCACGCCTTACTAAGTCATGGCCACGCATTATTTTTATTTATACAGGATGTCACCAGCGGGGCTCCGTAGAAAATGGTGCTTTGACTCGTGAGGATTTTTTAACAGCGGTTTAAAAGCCCAGACGCTGCAGACTCGATCTCCACCGTCCCCTCTGATTACCTTCGTGTGTTAATGTTTATGATGAAATATTTCAGTGATGGTGGTGAATAATGAGGAGGCAGAGCTGAAAGGGTGTCTGTTTATTAGGAGGAGTAACGTTAGCGCGCTCGGCTAAAGCGTTTGGGAAATGGAGACTGAAACTGAGAGCAGCGACGCTCTGACAAACAGCACGAAGCTCTGACACAATAATATTAACTTTCAGTTCATCGCGCTTTAGTTTTATTTAACTTTCTTTACACCAATCATGGTAGCTAGCTAACGTTAGCTGTCTGGCTAACTAACCGGATCACTTGTTTACATTTCAGCTGTGCTCGTATGGTCGGTTGCTAGGTAACAGACACGACAGTTGATTGTCGCCTTCAATTAAATAAGATTTCCTAACTTGAGATAAGAAAAGATGCTGTAAGATACGACATGAGTCTTAAATCAAGATACGATTTGCTTCAGTAATACGAATTTGTGAAAAATCATTAACCTGTCAGATCTTAAGACAAAAAGATAAGAATTTCCTGTAATACGGCCACAGACGTCGTTATATGTACACTACAAATATCACCATTTACCTGCTGTCCAAACTGACCAGTGAACTTACACGTCTTATAAGTTGTATATGTCACGCTGATAATGATAAAATAGTGCTAAATTCGAAAAAATGCGTTTTATTTGGGTACTATTTTTTCCTTACAACGCCCTGCATGTACCTCTCCGCGCTGCACGGTGTCAACAAAACTTAGTTTATTCAACAGAGGAGTTGAGATTGATCACAGCTGCACCTCACTTATTTATTCAGTGAACTGCGCTGTACCGGGATGCAAAAAATACATGGAGAAAATACAGTACGGTGCGTTTTTTTTTTCGGTTGCCGTTACCAGAAGTCCCGAAGTTGTGCCTAATTGTTTTCAAGCTCCACACAAATACCGAAGTCGAACAACTCTACAACCAACCACTTCACCAACGAAGACGACTCGAGACTCAGAAGCAAGGCGGATTTCAAATGCGCCTGCTAAAGAAAACTGCTGTTCCCTCTGTTATATTTTCCAGCACAGAGACTGGAATCACGGTAAGAAACGTTTGTGAGTGAAACAGCTGAATGAGTTAGCCTCGTTAGCCACCGTGCATGTATCACTGTTAGCCGTTAGCTTACAGACTGTCTAGCGTAGGCGACGCATTAAAATAACTGATACGCTATTCTATCTCATAAACTAGTAAGTAGAACAACAAGTAGTTTGTTGTTGACCCCGGCAATTTCCATTCGCCCTCTGTTATTCTGTAAGAATAAACTGTAAACAAAAGCCGTTGCCGTTAGCCGTGTTGAACGGCTGTAACATAAGAGTGCTGTATTCCGTACAGTACTTCGGCACTTTTCGCGTTTCAGCAGTTATTGCGGAAATACCCGAAGTGATACAGGGTGTAATGATTGGTTGGACTCTGCCATATCTGCCTAGCAACCAGGATGCATTTTGATTGGTCACATTTCGGCCAATACTTTTAAAGAAAGCGTCATCGGTGTCAACGGTTTGTACCGTCAGTATTCCGTACACCAGCTTCCACAGAGGGAGCGGTTTTCCGTACAGTGTTTTCCCTGCGTTTTATTTGAAGTTTTATGAAATCTAATTGCATAAAAATAGACATTAACTGATTATAAAAGTGTATTAATATAAACAATATGTGCAGTGAATGAGGCTACCATGGAAAGAAGCACAGTAAAGTGAGGCAGTGCTGTGAAGCTGCGCAGCTGAAAGGAGTCTGCTGAGGTAAATTAGCTGACGGTGTAAACTTAGATTAACAGCTCAGTAGTAAACACACTGTGTTTCATGGTGATGATCCATTGTTTAATGTTAAGCGTTAAATATGATGTTTAAACGTGCTTAAATGCATTTTAACTGGCCGTGAAAGTTCGCACATTCGCATCCCTGGGTTTCCCCACCCGCCATGTTCGGGTCACGCCGGGGGTCGGTCACTATTTTGCACAGATTTGATGTCCAAACCCAGCTTAGATGGTCTTTCCAACCAATTTGATGGAAAAAGGGATATATGATAATGTCTCAGATGTATCTTTGACAAATGTCAAGAAAGTGGTTTTTATTACACAGACAGAAATATTTGCAAGTGTACGGAATACCGTGCTCTTACGTTAGCTACAGGCTAATAACAACAAACGCTCGTTAGCTTTGCGCGAATTGGTCTCAGTCGAGAATGCAGTTTTGAGAGAAAACACGAAGTAATCCTGGGGTAATATTGGAGGCAAATCCAGCCAAAAAAAGGAATTAAAGTTAAGACAATAAAATGTAAATGCAAACCTCTTTTTGCCATTTCTTTTTCCAAACATCTGTGCAAATATCAACCTACTGTTCCCCCCCGTTCGATGCAGTGAAAACACTGAAACTAAGCTGCAGAATCAGCTAATTTTTAATTCATTGTTTTCGTGATGTTCCCAAAACCAACACATTTACATCTGCCTATTCATCCTACAGTAGTTCAGCTCTGCCTACTCATACTGATGTTACAGTGTTTCTGTCTGGACTGCTTTTTGAATGAGGTGCGATACAGTGCAGCCAATCAGAACAGAGCTCATTTACATATGTTAGTCTTAAAGGCACAGCAACAAAAACAGCTGTTTAATTCTAAAGGAGGTTGGTAAATGTGTACATTGCTGCTGTCCTTTTCAGTTTTTGACATATTTTCAAAAGGGCCTGTGTCCCTTTACATTGTGTGTAAATTTCATGAACAATGGACCAAAAGAAATGGCCAAACATCTGCGCGAATATCCTGCCAAAATTGAAAATGAAATGAAATACCTATATTTGCAGTTTCGTTTTTCACATAAGCACGAGTCATTTGTGACAAAAATAAATTTAAAAC